AACCTAAACCTGGTTTTAAGTGTTTTTTGGCAACACACAATTTTAAATAGAGAGAACATATGGGGCGAAGTTTAGGTATGGAAATTTCTCCCTACCATGAAGGAAAGGTGAAGAAGATAACTTTTCCCTAAACTTCTTGTACTCGCCACATGGTAAGTTTCATGGATGTTTATTTCCATTTTCAAGCTAATTTCAAGACCTAAACTTCTCCCCATATGTTCTATCTTTTTAAACATGTGTACGTGATGCAAAAAGTGAGCCTGGATTACCTGTGGTAATAATGAGCTATTTAGTTCGTGAGTGACTGAGGTAACGTACTAGAATAGTTTTAAAATGAGTTTAGAAAAACAAAACCAAACTATGACCAAACGTATTACATTGGCCAATGTCAAAAGAAACAGAAAAAGCGCGAAAAAAAAATTCGCGACCAAGTAACGATTCATATTCTTTTACTTCGAATTGGCTGAGATATTGAGGAAGCACGTATTTGAAAAACATTAGCTAAACGGCGTAATGCAAAACGACTGGAAATGCATTAATTAATGTCTACTGTCTACACTCAACATTCAAAGAGCTTTGCGCACGCCATCATTTTCTATCGGCGAAAGAATGCATTGATAAAACGAATGAGATTAGCGGATTTCCAATCATTCGGTAGAATTTGTGAACAAAGAAGGACACCATACCAATAAAATTGAAGGTCATTGGAGGCATGCAGAGTCTAAACTACCTAAGTTTGGCGTTCGAAAGCATCTTTTCTCCACATATTTGGCTGAATTTATTTGGAGGTACATGCACCGCGATGAAGATTTGTTTAGTGTATTTTTGAAAGATGTAAAGAAAGTTTATGAACATCAGTACAAAAAAGCTTTAACTTTTCAAAGCATGTTAAAAATGTATGATTAAGCTACAAAATAATTGTGTATGATTAATGAACCATCGCTTTTTCAAAGAACGTGGAATGCCTCTTGTTATTATTGAAAGTAAACTCAAACCTCTATTAAGCGGTCACCCCCGGAAATGAGCTAAATGAGGGTTAATGTAGGTTCCTTGCGAATATATCTTTGAAGGCGAAAGATTTTTCTTGTGGTTGGCCGCAAGCGAAGTTAAGAAAAGAACAATTTGTTGTGTTTGATGATCTTTTGAAAGAAACTGGAAATGTGCGGGAATCAGCGAGAAAACAGAAATTGAGAAATAACTCGCTTTCCCCTCTCACCTAAATATTACTATGTTCTTCGTCTTGTATGTTTGCATCGACGTGTAAACACTTTGGCGACAGCCGAATGAGTTTTCAAATTGATCGTTCGGAATACGCTAAATCATTTTCAGTATAAAAGTTTTCGCCACAAGAAATCACCATCGACCGAATAATTAAAACTGAGTTAAACGGTCGAGAATGATTCGTAACGAAATACTGGAAATGATGCCTGAGGTGTGCCAAGCTTGTTCGCTAGGCTTATGTTGCCATTAGGTCAAGTTTTTTTTCAAGGCCGATTTTGCCAAGCCAGTCACGACATTCCCTTTTACTAAATGTAGAAAGCAACAAGGAGGTTTTCAAAGATAATTTAAGCTCACCTCGATGTGATTTTTGAGAAAAATGATGCTTCAACCAAGGTAACAAGAATTTGCTCCTGAGAACTATACACCACACCAACGGCCTTTGAGAATGGGAATATTCCTCGTATTTAGCAAATTGAGCATGTGACCTTAGCACGTGATGCACTCTTGAGGGTGACGTAACATGCTTGGAATTTGAAGTAGATTTTTCGAAGCGGCGGCGGTGCTGAAACCTTGTAGTGGAGTATTATCAATCAAGCATCAAGCATTCTTTACTTCTTAGTCCATGACCAAGGGATGTCACTAGAATCTAGTTACAATCACCGCGGTTTTCTTCTTAGTATTGACAGAAACTTGATGGTGCAATGTACGAAGGTCAGCCACATCGCTAGAATGACCACACTGATTGACATCTGTCACAGTAGGGGTGTAGGAAGCGACTACAAAACAAACTTAAAACTTATAACGCACGTATCAATCGACGAAAATAACCGGACATCTGCCTTTTCGCACTCTTCTCTTTCTCATTCTCAAACGCGAGAAGAGATTCCGCTTGGAGCAAGAGTCCATCTATTGACTAAAAAAGAGAAGGCAAAAAACAAAAAAACAAACGCCTTCCTGGTTACAGGAATCAAAGAAAATTTCCGCTTTCCTGCCTAGGCAGATAAAGCCGCATGTGACGATTATGGTGATCCTTGACCTCGTCTCGGCTATTCCACCATTCCTGAAATACTACGTAAGCACAAAGCTTCCGGCGTGAGGATGGAGGTGGGAGGGAGGGGAGGGGAGGGGAGTTTTGTGCCTTGCTTATCGAAAATGAAGCAATAGTACACGCTCATCGCTTTGTTAGGAAACATGTCAAGGTTGCCTAGGAAGCCTTGAGAGCTTATCAACAGACTTGTCCACCTTTATTGACACAAAAGTTAAACAGAAGTGACACAAATTATAATCCGTATTTTGATGTTCCTTCAAAATGCAACAGACACGCATTTAGAAATTGAAGGGCGGTCACTCGGTAAGCATTACTTTACCTTAAACTTGGAACAGTATCTTGATGGCTTGGTGAATATGACAAAGCAGTAGATTATTTGAAGAAAGCTTGCTCCATAAGCAGCCAAATTGGAAACAAAATGACTGAGTTTCATAGCCTTCTTAGTATTACACAGTTAAAGATATTGCAGTCAGAGGCTGTGGACGCAAATGAGTAACTTCTTCAATGTATTAGAAAGTATGAACAAATCAGAACTTCTCTAAATGGAAACAGTGAGTTTGAAATGTCTCTGTTAGAGGAACGCGGTACTTTTCACCACTTTGCTTTGTTGTACTGGAAAATTTCGAGATGCTCTCTATGTCGAGGAACTGGGACGAGCAAGAGTCCTCGCAGAGATCATGGCAGACAAGTATTCCGCTGAAAGCTATATCTCAGCTCATCCATAATCATGGTTAGGGATCGAAAAGATCTTGAAAAGAGAAAGTGTCTTTTCTGTATGGAAGTCTGCCCGATTAACTCCGCCGTTTTCAAAAAGGATGATGAAACAGACTGGTTGAGAAGCAATGGGTTTCCCGAGCCTTCGCAGTGGGCTCCGTTTGTGCTGATGGGGGATAACGTGACCTGTTGGACAGTAATTTGAAAAGTTTGGACAGTCGTAGCCAATGATATTGAAGCACAAAGTAATTTCTTTTACAGGAAATCTGTTCTGTTTGCTTTTAAGTTGAAATAGTGACAGATGTAAAATGTTTGTTTTAGGAAAGAAGAACTCAATGAGGAAACTAAAGTTGCAGAGGAGGAACAGAGTGACTACTGATCCGAAAAACAGATTCTTCGTCCTCTACATTGTTTTTAAATGGAATCTGGTATTATTCTGCGTAGAAATTTTCTTTTTTTTTTAAGTCAAGCGGCAGTAGTTAGTGGCGTGATTTTTTAAGAATGGCCTAGTCGATCTATCAAGTATATCAATAGGGAACTAAAATAGATTGGAATGGAAAAATTGAACACAAGAAACTGGTTAAATGTTGAAAAATGTGAGAGCGTTGGCAAAGTTTCGTCAAAACTTCAAAATTAATATTTGATTTACACCGCCATGAATCTGTTTTAAATTTACCCGTATTAGCAAACGTGATCATCAAAGAGTGATAAAAACTGTTCTAAGGCGCAGGAGGAAGTGATAAACATAGCAAACTCGTGGAAGAAGGAACAAAAAGTGTCTAGATCCTAAAGAAACAATCAAATAGAAAAGCGAAAATACTAATGTAAAAATCAGACTGAAAAGAGAACAAGGTTGAGAAATTGCCGCAAAAATCAAACGATGAAGAAAACAGCGCTAAATAATAATCTAAGAGAGAAACGAAGAAGGGAACAAACAGAGCGGAATATTCCAAAGAAAAGTATCAACAAACTGAGAAGAAAAGAAACGGCGAGCAAATTGTTGAGGTAAAATCAGGAGAAAACATTGCACGAGATACTGACGCAGATGTCAAACAGAAGAATGCAAACAGTTTGTGGGATATTAACATGACAATCCGCAAGAATTCAGAAAAACAAACTCCAGGGCGCTAAAACTCTGATGTATGAATTAAATAAAAATCGGTACAAAAAGTGAGGTAGATATTAACTTGGAAATCAAACAGGGACTGAGACAAAAAACAATGTGAAAGATTCCAACGCAATATTGAGTCAAAGAAGAGAACGAGCTTTAAGCAAGATACAGTGGAACAAAACAACCAAACAAAGAAAAGAAAAAACAGTGCGAAATATATTCGCAACTACCAGTAACGTTAAGAGAAAGGAATAGTGGACTGGACATTGACAGACACGTCAGATTGGATAAGAAACGAAACATTTATTGCGCGAAACCTTGAAGTAAAAGGTTTTTAGTAAGAATAGAAAAGAAACAGTGCCAAAGATACTGACGTAACAAATAATAGAAATAAAGGCATGATATGCATGTAAGAGTCATTTTTTCGGCTGGGTGAGTTGAGGAGGGATAGTATGTAACTGAAATTTTAATTTTTATGAAGGAAAAAGAGCCATTTTGTCTCGATCCACTGCACAAAAAATAACACGGTAGTGTGAACCAGATAATTTTATTTAGGTAAACCTGCCGAAAACCAACCCGAGGCATACATAAATGCATACATTTACAACTGATATGCCATAACCGCCTCCCGGTTAGCTCAATTGGTTAAGTGCCGGACTGTTGTGCGGGAGGTCGAGGGTTCGAGCCCAGGCCGGACCAACACTCAGGGTCTTAAAATAATTGAGAAGAATA